CCGCAGCACGCAGGCTACGGTCATGGGATATATCTCGTGGAGCGCGGAGGAGATGCTTCGAGGGAAAGCGTCGGGCCGGGGCCCGGCGAACCACTGGTCCTGGAAAAACCCCCAAAACCCACGGACGGGGCTGCGTCCGTGAAGAACCGCGGGGCATCTGAAACAGGATGATGTCACTGTAAAAAAAAAAGAGATACACCATCCCAGCGGCTCTGCAGACGGGACCGGAACGCCAGGTCGGAGCGGCGCCCCGCGTCCGGGCAGACAGCGTCATTAAGGGAGGAGACGGAGCCGGCGAGGGAGAGGAGTCTGGAATTAAAAGAACGACCTTGGGGAATGATACGGACGGCATAATGAAGATGCCCGAGGAGGGAGAGCAAGGACGCCTCGAAGTGACGGGAAGGCCAAGGCAGACCGGGAGAAAGCGCGGATGCGTTCGAGCTCGTCCAGCGGGAGGGAGGCCTCCATGGCGCGTGTGTCGAGGCGGATGCCGAGAAACTCCAGAGCGTTGGCGGGGCCTGTGGTCTTTCCGGAGTGGAGGAATCCGAGGGCAGAGAAGGCGGGCCTGAGCTTGCGGAGAGAGCCCCCGGAGCAGTCTGAGGGTGGGTTGACTACGAGGGAATTATCGGGGAGATGCAGACAGAGGGGAGCCGCGCGTAATTAAGCAGAATCCGACACGGCGCCTCCGAGAGATTGGTGAACGAGAGGGACTACTCCGGCAGTCAAAGGTGAGGCGCACTGCGAAGAAGAACTCCGACGCCACTTGACCCCTGAACAGCGCCAGTGGTCGGGGTGGATGGCAGCAGCTTGAACGCGTCCGGGATGACGGCCTTGGAGAGCCAGGAGCCGGGGCCGAAAGTCTTTATCAGCCTGATTGCGTGGTCCACGGTAGCGGACTGCAGGGAGAAGGGCGCTGGAGGGAAGGGGCTGTGGATGCTCGGGCAGGCCCGGATTGGGGACAGGAGAGGACGAGTATGAGACGCTTCTTCCTGGAGTGCTTGCGGGTGGCGATGCCCATCGGGTAAGAGCGAGACGGAGAGAAGGGGCCAATGACGTAGCCCACGGACACCTCCCGCGCCCGAGCCGCGTGCCGACTTGGGGCTCACGGAGAGCCGGGTAGAGGTTGCGGGACACGAGACGCCGAGGGACCTAAACAGAGCCTGCAGTCTAATGTGAGGGATTTAAATAGAGCTTGCAGTCCAAAGTGAGGTATTAAAACTGAGCCCGCAGTCCAAGTGAGGCGTTTAACGGAGAGCCTGCAGTCCGGTGCGAGGGAGTTAAACGACCTGTAGTCCGAGGTGAGGGATTAAACTGAGAGCTTGTAGTCCAGAGTGAGGGATTCAACATTGCCCGCAGTCCTAAAAGAGGGATTTATAACTGAGAGCTTGAAGTCCAAGTGAGGGATTAAACCGAGAGCTGCAGTCCAGTGTGAGGGATTTAAACAGGTTTTACGGTCCAGTGAGGGATTAACTGAACCCGCAGTCCAAGTGAGGAGTTTAAACTGAAAGCTTACAGTCCAGTGTGAGGGATCCAACAGAGCCTGCAGTTTTTTATTTATTTATTTATATTTATTTTATATTTATATTTATTTATATTTATATTTATTTATATTTATTCATATTTATATTTATTTATTTTTATATATAAGCGTTCCAGATAGCAGTACCATATATGCAGTTCCAATATGAGCAGTTCCATATAAGCAGTTCCATATATAAAGCAGTTCCATATATAGCAGTTCCATACATAGCAGTTCCATATATAGCAGTTCCATATATATAAGCAGTTCCATATATAGCAGTTCCATATATAAGCAGTTCCATATATAGCAGTTCCATATATAAGCAGTTCCGCATGAAGCAGTTCCAGGTACGGTATAAACAGCTCCAGATATAAGCAGTTCCAGATATAAGCAGTTCCGTGAGGGATTAACCTGGGAGCTCGCAGTCCAATGTGAGGGATTCAATTTGGGAGCCGCAGTCCAGAGGGATTTAAACGGGGCTTGCAGTCCAAAGAGAGGGATTTAAACAGAGCTCGTAGTCCAGAGAGGGATTTAAAGAGAGCCTGCAGGCCAAAGTGCGGGATTAAAACTGAGGTCTTGCAGTCCAATGTGAGGGATTAAACTGAGGTCTTGCAGTCCAATGTGAGGAATAAACGGAGCTTGCAGTCAGAGTGAAGGATTTAAACGGAGCTTGGTTAAGAGAGCCTGCAGACCAATGCGAGGGCTTTAAACTGAAGCTTGCCCACCAATGCACGGGGCCAACTGAGCCTGCAGTACAAAGCGCGGGGCCAACTGAGCCTGCAGCACAATGCGAGGGGAATAAACCGTCCGCATACTTACCCACAACGCCAGAAGACAAGGGACAACACAACGGGACCACGCCGTACCGGCACGAGGAGGCAGGGATGCGCACAGCTCCCACCGCACCGGGCTAGACCGGTATGGAGCTATTATTGTTTCAATAATATTTGTGTGTGCGTAAAAAGATTTGTGCGTGCGTAACCAGATTTGTGTGTGCGTAACCAGATTTGTGCGTGCGTAACCAGATTTGTGTGTGTGTAAAAGAAATATTTGTGCGTGTGTAAATAGATTTGTATGTACGTATCAAGATTTGTGTGTGCGTAAAAAGATTTGTGTGTGCGTAGAAAGATTTGTGTGTGTGTAAAGAAAAAAAAAGTACGTTTTACACACAAGTTTTTTTTTGACACACGAATCTTTTGACGCAGTCTTGCCTTCGCAGATTCGCAAGTGTAACTTGGACTGTGTGCGTGCGTAAACAGATTTGTGTGTGTGTAATTTGACATTTGTATCTGTAACAGAACAATCTGTGTGTAAATAACCGCGTTGTACAAAGAGAAGAACGGGAAAAAGCCTAAGTGCTACGCACAGGCTCTGTTTTACACACGAATCTCTTTTTGACACACCTCTGCCGCCAAGCGTGTGTCAAAAAGATTTGTAAGTGTAATGTGGTTGTTCTAGCAGTAAAGTCAATAATACACAAATTCTTCTTGTTTATTATTGAAAAGAATATTTAGCCAAAAGTCAGTGTCTGTGAATCAAGCAGAGACTTTGTTACCTGCTGCCCCCTACAGGCTGTAGACTCACATCACACCTTTGTACGTGACGTTTACTGACGCCAACGTGACATACTATTGATCCTGCAGCTCTAACTAAACTAAATATATAAGAAAACTTTATTCACACACACACACACACACACACACTTATAATAATAATAATAATAATAATAATAATAATAATAATAATAAAAATGATAATAATAATAATAACAACAATAATAACATAAGTTGGTAGAGTATTGGCCTTCAGGCCAGAAGGTTGTGGGTTCAATTCCCACCTCTACACCTTCTCCACCGACTCCCACTGATGACTGCTGTTGTTGTGTCCTTGGGCAAGACACTTAACCCCACTTTGCCCAAAGCCTCCACTGAAAGATCAAGGCTATGCTCACACTCAGAGAGCAGCCGTCCTCCTGTGGACTCACCACCTGCAGAGGGTCAGTGAGGGGCTGGTGCTATGAGACTTGGGTGGCATCTCTGATTGCCACCCCCCTGACCCAGAAATGGATTAAAGGGTAGAAAATGGATGGATGGATGGATGGATGGATAATAATAATAATAATAATAATAATGAATGAATACTTTAATTTGAGCCATGGCAAACAAGAACAAAGAACAAGAACAAAGTAACAACAACATAGAAAAGTAGTGGGAAGACATAACAATTATAAAAAGTGTGTTTTTCTGAGAGAACGTGGCTGTGTTTATTACCTGCGTAACTTAAAGGAGGAGCGTAGTATTTTACAATCTCAACTTTATCTTGTCTGAGTTTGCGCAGTGCAAAGAAGCGTCAGACAGACTTCTATGATGACGTGTGCGCCATATGCGGCGCAGTAAAGATTATAATGATGTATAACTGGGGTTAGTTTTTCCCATGGTCCTGCAGCGGGGAAGTCTCTCTCTCTCTGTGTGTCTCTCTCTTTCTCTCTCTCTCTCTATGCCACATCACTACAATGGCTGAACTGGGACAGGAATTCCGCATATGCGCGTTATAGCTGCCAGAGAGAGAGACAGAGACTAGAGAGAGACCAGAGAGAGAGACCATGAGACTATAACAGGACCAGAGAGAGACCATGAGACTATAAAGAGACCAGAGAAAGACCATGAGACTATAAAGAGACCAGAGAGAGACTATAACAAGACCAGAGAGAGACCATGAGACTATAAAGAGACCAGAGAAAGACCATGAGACTATAAAGAGACCAGAGAGAGACTATAACAAGACCAGAGAGAGACCATGAGACTATAAAGAGACCAGAGAGAGACCAGAGAGAGAGAGACGATGAGACTATAAAGAGACAAGAGAGAGAGACCAGAGAGAGAGACCATGAGACTATAAAGAGACCAGAGAGAGACAAGAGAGAGAGACCAGAGAGAGACCAGAGACAGCGCTGTCAAAGGGCAAAGAACACACAGCGATGCGCCAGCCGCTTAGACCAGAGGATTAGGTCTCTCTGACGCGGAAGTGTTGCTGAGAGACGAGTCCATAGAGCCAGAAAGAGACCAGAGAGAGACCAGAAAGAGACCAGAGAGAGAGACCAGAGAGAGACCAGAGACAGCGCTGTCAAAGGGCAAAGAACACACAGCGATGCGCCAGCCGCTTAGACCAGAGGATTAGGTCTCTCTGACGCGGAAGTGTTGCTGAGAGACGAGTCCATAGAGCCAGAAAGAGACCAGAGAGAGACCAGAAAGAGACCAGAGAGAGAGACCAGAGAGAGAGACCAGAGACAGAGACCAGAGACAGAGACAGGACCAGGATTAGGTCTCTCTGACGCGGATGGACCGGTGCGCGCCCGGGTACTAACTGAACCTGTGCCTCCTACTTCTTTGGGCTGGACTTTTCCAAACTCTGCAGATAGTTCCTCCTGTTGCTGGTGTCGCTATAAGAGGACTGTACCATAAAGACACAGCGGGGCACCATGGACACAGTGCTGGACGTGGACGCGCTGGCCCATGGTCTGGCGAACCTGTCCATGTTCCCCTACTTTGACATTGCGCACTACATCGTGTCTGTGATGTCGCTGAGGGAGCAACCAGGTGAGACTCACACTAACACATGGTACACTCACATGGTACACACACATGTCCAGGCTGCAGGTACAGAGCTGAAGGAACTCCTAGTGTCTAAACTTTTGTCACAAGTCTGTCACAAGACCTTCCCTGTCCTCAGCTCCTCATTTACAGGTACCTTCTAAACATAGCAGCTACTTATATACTTACTATTGTCCTGTATGTGCGCTGCAACACTGACATTTCCCCATTGGTTCTGTACGCTTAAAATACCAGCGTTTATGCCTGAGCTGTTACTGCAGGACAATTGTTATATACAGAACATCCGACATCTGACCCTACAGGGAAGGCAGGTTCAAAGTGCTTCACCAAACCAGATAGAAGCAAGATCACACCTGGTATTAAATCATGAACTCTCTCTGGTCTTTCTCTCTGGTCTCTCTCTCTGATGTCTCTGGTCTCTCTCTCTGATCTGGGGACTCTATAGTCTCTCGCTGGTCTCTCCTTCTCTCTGGTTTCTCTCTCTGGTCTGTCTCTTTGGTCCTCTGTCTGGTACCTCTTTTTGATCTGGGTACTCTCTTTTCCTCTCTCTGGTCTCTCTCGCTCTCTAGTCTGTCTCTGGTCTCTCTCTCTCTGTCTGATCTCTCTCTGGTCTCTCTCTCCCTCTAGTCTCTCTCTGGTCTCTCTTTCTCGCTAGTTTCTCTCTGATCTCTCTCTAGTCTCTCTCTGGTCTCTCTCTGGTCTCTCTCTGGTCTCTCTCTGGTCTCTCTCTGGTCTCTCTCTGGTCTCTCTCTGATCTCTCTCTGATCTATCTCTGGTCTCTCTCTGGTCTCTCTCTCTCTGATCTCTCTCTGGTCTCTCTCTCCAGTCTCTCTCTGGTCTCTCTCTGGTCTCTCTCTAGTCTCTCTCTAGTCTCTCTCTAGTCTCTCTCTGGTCTCTCTCTGGTCTCTCTCTAGTCTCTCTCTAGTCTCTCTCTAGTCTCTCTCTGGTCTCTCTCTGGTCTTCTCTCTGGTTTCTCTCTCTGGTCTGTCTCTTTGGTCCTCTGTCTGGTACCTCTTTTTGATCTGGGTACTCTCTTTTCCTCTCTCTGGTCTCTCTCGCTCTCTAGTCTGTCTCTGGTCTCTCTCTCTCTGTCTGATCTCTCTCTGGTCTCTCTCTCCCTCTAGTCTCTCTCTGGTCTCTCTTTCTCGCTAGTTTCTCTCTGATCTCTCTCTAGTCTCTCTCTGGTCTCTCTCTGGTCTCTCTCTGGTCTCTCTCTCTGGTCTCTCTCTGGTCTCTCTCTGGTCTCTCTCTGGTCTCTCTCTGATCTCTCTCTGATCTATCTCTGGTCTCTCTCTGGTCTCTCTCTCTCTGATCTCTCTCTGGTCTCTCTCTCCAGTCTCTCTCTGGTCTCTCTCTGGTCTCTCTCTAGTCTCTCTCTAGTCTCTCTCTAGTTTCTCTCTCTGGTCTCTCTCTCTGGTCTCTCTCTAGTCTCTCTCTAGTCTCTCTCTAGTCTCTCTCTGGTCTCTCTCTGGTCTCTCACTGGTCTCTCTCTGGTCTCTCTCTGGTCTCTCTCTGGTCTCTCTCTGGTCTCTCTCTGGTCTCTCTCTGGTCTCTCCCTGGTCTCTCTCTGGTCTCTCTCTGGTCTCTCTCTGGTCTCTCTCTGGTCTCTCCCTGGTCTCTCTCTGGTCTCTCTCTGGTCTCTCTCTGGTCTCTCTCTGATCTCTCTCTGATCTCTCTCTGATCTATCTCTGGTCTCTCTCTGGTCTCTCTCTCTCTGATCTCTCTCTGGTCTCTCTCTCCAGTCTCTCTCTGGTCTCTCTCTGGTCTCTCTGGTCTCTCTCTGGTCTCTCTCTAGTCTCTCTCTAGTCTCTCTCTGGTCTCTCTCTGGTCTCTCTCTAGTCTCTCTCTAGTCTCTCTCTAGTCTCTCTCTGGTCTCTCTCTGGTCTCTCTCTGGTCTCTCTCTGGTCTCTCTCTGGTCTCTCTCTGGTCTCTCACTGGTCTCTCTCTGGTCTCTCTCTGGTCTCTCTCTGGTCTCTCTCTGGTCTCTCTCTGGTCTCTCTCTGGTCTCTCCCTGGTCTCTCTCTGGTCTCTCTCTGGTCTCTCTCTCTGGTCTCTCTCTGATCTCTCTCTGGTCTCTCTCTGGTCTCTCTCTGGTCTCTCCCTGGTCTCTCTCTGGTCCTCCTGCAGTTGTGAATTAGATCCATATGAAAAATACGTTGAATTGAATGATTATTTGAACGACGATAACAACCACAGCTTGTGCATTGGACATAAAAACGACAAAACTTATAAAAACAATAGTAATCATACATTTTATTTAGATTTCAACACACTTATACACACAAAGACACACACTTCTCTGGAGCTGAAGGGGCCCATGGGTTATGTCACTGTGGGGCTAAAGAGACAGGTGTGTGTAAAGTCCTCCACTGCACGGACCAAGGACGCACAACAACACAAACTATTGTTATGCTGCCGCTGGTGTGTATCTATTTCGGACCCTGCCTCGTGAGGAATCTAAACTGCGAAGCACTTTTCACCCGTGTAAATGTTCATACAGGACAAACGTAAACACACACAGACTCATGGACTAAACCTGGACCCGTGTGGACTATACCTGGACCCGTGTGGACTATACCTGGACCCGTGTGGACTATACCTGGACCCGTGTGGACTAAACCTGGACCCGTGTGGACTAAACCTGGACCCGTGTGCCCCGGAGGAGAGACTCAGGCCTGGGTTCAAAGAGACACAAGGACTTCTTCTTCCTCACAAGGAATGGAATGCTAGGATCTCCCAATAGACACACACACACACACACACACACACACACACACTAACACACACACTAACACACACACACTAACACACACACACAGAGACACACTAACACACACACACACACACACACACACACACACACTAACACACACACTAACACACACACACTAACACACACACACAGAGACACACTTACACACACACACACACACACACACACACACACACTAACACACACACTAACACACACACACTAACACACACACACAGAGACACACTTACACACACTAACACACACACACACTAAAGTCAATGTTCAGTCGACAAACGCAGTGTAAATATCTACAATGTGCATGGCTCTGTTGTGTAATAATAAAAAACAAAGAAGGTAGCATAAAAAAATAGCGTTAGCATAATAAAGAGGCTAGCATAAAATCTCTAGCTTTAGCATAATAAAGAAGCTAGTATAAAATCTCTAGCTTTAGCATAATAAAGAAGCTAGTATAAAATCTCTAGCTTTAGCATAATAAAGAAGCTAGTATAAAATCTCTAGCTTTAGCATAATAAAGAAGCTAGTATAAAATCTCTAGCTTTAGCATAATAAAGAAGCTAGTAAAAAATCTCTAGCTTTAGCATAATAAAGATGCTAGTACAACTACTGTATAATCTAGTACACTAAATCTATAGTTGTGTGTTTACATGTGTTAGCAGCACAAGGGTCACGTGTGGTTCTATATTCGCAAAATATTTCACATTATTGCAACGTGTGTGGTCAGGTCGACAGTGTTCGTTAGTCCTCATGTTCGTTGTACAGTCTGACAGCAGCAGGAGGCACACAGCGAGGGTGGATCTTTGGCTCACATACACACATACACATTGGACACACATACACACTGGACACACATACACACATACACACTGGACACACATGCACACATACACACTGGACACACATACACACTGGACACACATGCACACATACACACTGGACACACATACACACTGGACACACATACACACATACACACTGGACACACATACACACTGGACACACATACACACATACACACTGGACACACATGCACACATACACACTGGACACACATACACACTGGACACACATACACACATACACACTGGACACACATACACACATACACACTGGACACACATACACACATACACACTGGACACAAACATACACACTGGACACACATGCACACATACACACTGGACACACATACACACATACACACTGGACACACATACGCACATACACACTGGACACAAACATACACACTGGACACACATACACACTGGACACACATACACACTGGACACACATACACACTGGACACACATACACACGTACACACATACACACTGGACACACATACACACATACACACATACACACATACACACTGGACACACATACACACTGGACATACATACACACTGGACACACATACGCACATACACACTGGACACAAACATACACACTGGACACACATACACACTGGACACACATACACACTGGACACACATACACACTGGACATACATACACACTGGACACACATACACACGTACACACTGGACACACATACACACGTACACACATACACACTGGACACACATACACACATACACACATACACACTGGACACACATACACACATACACACTGGACACACATACACACTGGACACACATGCACATTGGACACATACACACATACACACTGGACACACATACACACATACACACTGGACACACATACACACGTACACACATACACACTGGACACACATACACACTGGACACACATACACACTGGACACACGTACACACTGGACACGCATACACACTGGACACACATACACACATACACACTGGACACACATACACACGTACACACATACACACTGGACACACATACACACATACACACTGGACACACATACACACGTACACACATACACACTGGACACACATGCACACATACACACATACACACTGGACACACATACACACTGGACACACATGCACACATACACACTGGACACACATGCACACATACACACTGGACACACATACACACATACACACTGGACACACATGCACACATACACACTGGACACACATACACACTGGACACACGTGCACACATACACACTGGACACACATACACACATACACACTGGACACACATACACACTGGACACACGTGCACACATACACACTGGACACACATGGACACAC